GGTGTTTCTTTGCAATGGAAAGCATTGGGGGAGGCCTATGTTCAGCAGTGGACGTCCTATGGCTGAAATGATGATGAATGCAATGTGAATGAGTAGAGTATAGTATATGGCTATGGTATTGAACTAAAGTACCATGTATCTTCTAGCTAAAGCTATAAGCGCGCGGGCGCAAAATGGAACGCGCTTTGTATTTGACCATTGCCGCCATTATTTTTGCTTTGCTAGTCTCTGTCAGTGTCAACTTACATATTATTTAAATAAGCATAACTATGACCAAACTTTCTTCTTCTTTTTTGATGATGTTGGCAATACACGTCGAGGTCGACTTGATTTGTGCCATTTTCCAGTATATAAGTGATACGAGTTACAAAATGAGATCAAGTAATGATATAATGAAGGATGATAGATGATACCCTTTCCCACCCTTTGAGTCTCAGTAAAGTTGTGGTGCTTTACTGAGACCTCCTATGGACAACTTGAGAGAACCAGAAGAATCACGATGCACTGTTTTGCTTCACTTGCCCACACCCATGGACGTTCACGAACACTCAATGGTTAATAATCCACCATTATTANCTTCAGATTCGCGCCAAGAAGTCCTGACCAAAGGTTTTGCTTTGCTAATGAGCGAAGTATCCTATTGTTGATCTCTTTATATTTGATTTTTAATTAAACTATTCAATTGATCTCACAATATTATGTTCAGAACATGTAACTTCATCTTGTCAAACTAGAATATAAAAGAAATAAAATGATTTTTATTATAATTTGCAGCATTTTTATTTACTTACAAACAGTCGACCCGAAAAACCCGAAAAAACCGGTTTAGTTCGGTTTTTAAAAATAAAAACCGAAAAAACCGGTTTTTCCAAACCGCTCGGTTTTTGCATGCCCTAGTAGCGGAGAATAATGTTGTGGCAGGCCTTTGTTCAAACGATCATAGCAAATGTTGTGATAGGGATAGACACATGCGATTTTTGGTTTTACAAAGATAATACGATAGAGAATAATACAAAATAATAAAAACCACCTGTTATAGGGGCATTTTTTGGAGAAATTTATCAAATAACCAAAAAAACACGAATTTTAAAGCAGTTTTTTTTTTCAAAAAGTATCATTTTTTATTATTTGTTGGCATTTTTTGTGTATTTTATGTATTTTTTAGTATCGCCTGTTATTTAGCATTATTATTGTTTTTATTTTATTAGGATACACCGCTTAGTTTAAAAGTTATTACGTTTTCTTTACAATAAGTAATTGGAAGAAAAAAAAATCTATAAAAAATTTAAAAAAATCTCATAAATTTTTGACCACTTTTTTGTCGATAAAAATAGATCTAGTTTCATCTATTTTCATATGTACACTTTAACGTGACTCACACTGTACCTATGTTTTAAAAGCTTAGATACCTTTGTAAATTAAAAAAAAAAATAAGTAAAAAATCTTAGCAAGTAAAAAATAAATAAAAGACATTTGAAAAACAAGTAACTAAATTACGTGTGCGTTACCTCAGCGACATCTCCATCTCCACCATCTCGTCGGTGCCCTGCCCCGAGCGCGTCTGCCTTCCATTTGTCCCAAGATAATTTGTTTCTCCAGACAATGCCTTGGAGACCGCATAATATGTCCAAAGAAACAGAGGGTACGCTTTAGGCATATAGTGGAGAGCCGCGTAGTGATGTTGAGCTCTTTTAATATGGACTCGTTGGTTCGCATTGCAGTCCAGGGTATGCGGAGTAATTTCCGCCAACACCACATCTCAAACGCATCGATCTTACTGCTATCGCGGCTTCTCAGGCTCCAAGTTTCATCATTAGTGTATGTTATAAATAGCAAGCATTACTGCAGCGCAATCTTATTTTCTCCAATTACGATCTTAATTCTCGGCACATTTACAGGATATAAGGCACTAACTTTTCCATATAGGCACATCTTGATCAGCGTCACCATGTCGCTGAGGTAACGCACACTAAATTACTGTAACATTACAATTAAAGTATGTACAATGTGTTCCTGGCATTGTCCCATAACTTTAAGGGTATTTTCTATGAATAAAAGTAAGTTAAAATGTGTCATAAAACATGTGTTCCAAAACGCATAATTTAAAAAATAGTTGATATTTTTGACGTAAAGGATAAGGTGAATTAATTTATATGGAAAAATAAATCGAAAAGAATAATATCATTAGGAACACGTTTACGGAGGTTGTAATAAAAAAATACATCAAAAAACAAGTCAACTTGTTATTTTTCTACCAGTCTCTGGTTATTTGATGGCTTTAAGCTGAAATTAAAAAAACATTACTGTGGAAATGTTACCGAATTTTTGGTCTTGATTTTAATTTTATTTTGTTGATGTAGACCTATCCACACTGTAAATAAGCTGAAATTAAAAAAACATTACTGTGGAAATGTTACCGAATTTTTGGTCCTGATTTTAATTTTATTTTGTTGATGTAGACCTATCCACACTGTAAATATAATTATTGTTATTACAATTAATAGGCGTCTACGCTCAACAAGTCTCCCTTGATGCCTTGATGCTAAGAACACTTAATTCGTGTTATTATCATGTTTCAATTTTGAATGATTTTTGTAATACCTACTGATTAGGTGCCTACTTAATTCACTCTCTGATCATCACAATTATTATACTTTGACTAGGGTTTTTTAAACATAGCTTTGCTCATATCAATTTGGTTTTACACAATGCTTTTATCTTATTTTCATGACATCATTATTTTCCTTTCATTAGGTTAATTTTTTGATCGCACAAATAGCTGCACTATGCCTGGCCAGACTGTTTCGGAAACCATTGAAATTTGCTTCGCCAGAATTTCGTCATTCCGTGTGCCTTGTTATAGGTTTGATAATGGGATATTTCTGCTTTGGAAAGTAAGTTCTAATAGAGTATTAATTTATTATCTTCTGCTTACATCGTTCCTTAACCTATAATTTCGCAAAATATTATCTCACATTATAATTAACATAAATATTAAACAATGCGAAACTTCAGGTAGGTGTTTTGTGCATTGGAACAATTTGAGTTATCTAATCGCATTGTCATCGTTGCAGTGTAAGTTTTAGCAAGACGTGATGTTTTATTTAAAAATATCAATTTCGCGTAGCTTTAGGCGCGCTGCATGCACTGAATATAGATCTGTAATGTCGAAAAAATCGAATTACTTACTAATTTTGATACCTATTAAAAAAACATACATTCATTTAACATTTTTTAAATAAGAAGTAAAACAGCCGGGTCGCCGAGCACGTAGAATTTCTTCCAATGACCCCAAGCTACCCATCCTTTTCTTTCGCGCGTAAAATTATATTGCTGTCGCGACTGGGCGACGGGCGGCCGCAGTTAGTGTGCGAACGCGACAGCAACATAATTACGCGCGAGCGATAAGGATGGGTAGCTTGGGGTCAATGGACGAAATTATACAGGGTGTTTGGCGGAAGGTTAGACAAACTTCGTGGGTGGGTGGTTTTTTTTTCCGAAAGAAGAACGGTCACGCCCCATACAAAAAAAAAACCCAGACCCGACAGAAACGAGACATACCTCAATTTTTTTGTCATGTCTTAATTAGTTAAATTATATATTTTTTATATTCGAAATCTATGTATAACACCAAAATATTACCCTTTGTTTTTGTTCAGGCGTTATACAAAAACTAATACAAAATGCCTATTTATCACCAAAATTGATAAAGGACAGTGCCAATCCATGTATGGAAGTTTGACCAAGTGCTGCCCAGAATGAAACTATAGTGCATTTTGTTCCTCAGGCCAATACTAATTTGTAAACCGGAGCGCACTGAAATCTATCCCTGGAGTTAAGAGAAAAATAGAGTTTTGTTTGGAATTATTTACATACAAAATATCATCGATGCATACCTACTACGCATAAGATTTCGCGATTTTGGCATTAAATAACACTCGTTATTTTGAACTTAACCATACTGCATCCGTACACCTTACTTTAGTACGACTTCGACATTATCTATAAGCGATCAAGCGCTGTTGCAGTAGTTTGGTTAGTTGACCGAAATTAATTATTTCCAAAATAGAGCAAGAAGTTTTAGCTTACAATAACTTCAATAATTGATTGTAATACACCAATAAATTGATTTTTCGCAAGGATAGAGAACTAAAACTCCTTGATTCATTTTGGAAATAATGATTTCTGTCAAGTAACCAAACTATTGCAACAGCGCTAGATCGCTTATAAAGAATGTCTAAGTCGCACTAAAGTAAGGTGTACGGATGCAGTATGGTTAAGTTCAACATAGCGAGTGTTATTTAATGCCAAAATCACGAAATCTTATGCGTAGTACGTATACATCGATGATCTTTTGTATGAAAATATTTCAAAACAAAACTCTTTTTTTCTCTTAACTCCAGGGATAGATTGCAGTGTGCTTCGGTTTACACATTAGTATTGGTCTGAGGAACTAAATGCACTATGGGTTGATTCTGGGCAGCACTTGGTCCAGACCCTGGCACTATCCTTTATGTACCTAAATGTCTATTACAGCTTCTATGGAATGTATCTAGGTGACCTGGAGATACAGCCGGATTATACAGGGTGGAAACGAGAAGTTACAAAATCCAAAAATTCAATGTTACCAGCTTCCATAATCTGTAACCTATTATTGGTACCATTTGAAAGAGCTCGTGAAGCACTTTCAGAATCAGTAACTAGTTTTTCGATATCTTGTATAGTTTAGAAATAATCGAGTGTTATCACTTATTGTTTCCACCCTGTATAATCCGGCTGTATCTCCAGGTCACCTAGATACATTCCATAGCAGCTGTAATAGACATTTAGGTACATACATTTACCAATTTGGGTGATAAATAGGCATTTTGTATTAGTTTTTGTATAACGCCTGAACAAAAACAAAGGGTAATATTTTGGTGTTATACATAGATTTCAAATATAAAAAATATATAATTGAACTAATTAAGACATGACAAAAAAACTGAGGTATGTCTCGTTTCTGTCGGGCCTGGGTCACAGATGACCGTTCTTCTTTAACCTAAAAACTTTAAAATTAATAAAATCAAAAATATCAATTAAAAAAAAGTCACTTAGGGTCAAATGGGCGAACTTGTATTCTTAAAATGACCTTACCTATACACCCACGAAGTTTGTCTAACCTTCCGCCAAACATCCTGTATAGTGTAAAAAATAAAAAATACTATTATTATTTTTGGAATTACCAAAACTGCTTTGTTGGAATTAGAAACAGATCAAATCTGAAACTGAACCCTGTCATTGAAGTCAATCGGCACTCGGCAGCAATCTTCCATAAAAAGCGCAATTTTGTTGCATACTTAACGCAAAAACTGTAGATCTTACTCTGCAAACATAATTCGTTTATTCATTCATTGCTTCATGTTATACACTTACATTCACTTAAGTTATAATAATTATTTTACTGAAAGATGTGAATATGTAGGTAGATCACATTTAGATTTTTTTATACTAGACGAAAGTTATATTCGCTTTAATATTGCATTGTATTTATGTAGGTATCATTTTGATAAACTCACTCACCACATCTTATACCTACCTACTTACACACTTTAGATTAATAAAGCCTTTACACAATACTCAATGTATCGTTATCGTACGGACAAAGCAATAGGTGGGTAAATCTATTTCAAATTATTTCGGCGAAGGTATTAAAACATCATAGTTTCATTTAATATAAGGAATTTAAGAAGTGTGCATGACCCGATAACAATTCTTACATTATTCTCGCTATGATTCCCTTGCGTTTGTACAGACTAAGTTATCACCAGTAAATTTTAATAATCTATTGATATTTTCTTTCAGACAAGCAATTCACTTATCAGTGTTACCGATGATGAGTTACATATTGTTAAAAACAATACCACAACATCTTATGGGAAAGTAAGAGAACATAATTATATGTATTATTTTCAAAATAAATATAATATTATGCTTTCAGTAATTTTCCCGTGACTACGTATGTACTTAGGTATTTCCATTTTATTCATTCGGTTATTTTTGTTACAGCGTTATATTGGCTACCTCGATGTTATATTTGTCATGTCTACATTTGCATCGACAAATATATCATACAGCGGACTATACTTTGGATATAACAGGTAGGAAATGTAACTTAGAATTAAATAATTTACAAAATCAAGATATTTATAAGTATTATATTATACAGTGTGAGTCACGATAGTGTACATATGAATTAAGGTGAAAATAGACCTATTTTAATCGACAAAAAAGAGGTCAAATTTTTTTTTTTTTTTATAGATTTTTTCTTCTTCCAATTACTTATTGTAAAGAAAACGTAATAACTTTTAACTAAGAGGTATATCCTGATAAAATAAAACAGTAATGATACTAAATAACAGGCAATATTAATTAAATACATAAAATACCCAGAAAATGCCAACAAATAATTAAAAAAAAAACATAGTTTTTGAAAAAAATCTGCTTTTAAATTCGTGTTTTTTTTGTTATTTGATAAATTTCTCTAAAAAATGCCCCTATAACAGGTGGTTTTTATTACTTTTTTTTTATTATTCTCTATCGTATTACTTTTGTAAAACCAGAAATCGCATGTCTATATTAGAGATGAAACGGATATCCGGCAACTATCCGGTAGGCCGGATATCCGGCCTAAATTTACTATCCGGCCGGATACCGGATAGTAGCTCACTATCCGGCCGGATACCGGATATTAAAAAAACTACGAAAATTTCCTATAATAAAATGAAACACATTAATCTTTGAGTCAAATATCAATAAAATGGCTTATAATAATGACGGTTTTTATCTAAAGTCCAAAAAGTTACAAAAAAGCCATATTAAGGCCTTTCAAAAAACTGATTTCTTTTCTGGGCTATTCACTCTAATGACGAATACATAAATAGTAAATATATTTTAATGTCGAAATATTGCCAAATAAAATAGGCGATCTTTTTTTTCACTGATGGTCTGATGACATACAGGGTGACTTTGAAATCGTTGGCATACTTTTAATATAAGACTACTCATGATACATGGTGCTCTAAAAAGAGTTTAAAACTATTGTACAGTCAACAGCACATCATCCTATACATTTTGTTGCAAAGTAACACTTAACCTTTAACTACTGACGTGGGGGCCTCTCAGGCCTTGCAAAAGTCAAATTGTTGAATTTCTCCTCTCCCACGTGCACGACACACCCGAATCTTTTGGTACCTTCGAGTTTCATTGCGCCGAGGCTGTCAACAACGGTGCACGTGATTGAACGCGCAATTTTAGTAGGTAAATTAATTTTAAAGTTTCTTGTGGGCCTCTCAGGCCCCCACCTCAGTATTGGCGTAACTTTTTTTGTCTATAGTTTTCATTTAGTTGTCGTCTTTTCTTGAAATAATTTGAAAAAATCTATAATATGGAGCCCACAGTACGTCGTCCGAGAGAAAGCGGTATCTCGGAAGTAAAAATAACCAGCATTTAACGAAAAATAGAAGAAAAGTAGTTTTTGGCACGTATTTTTATTTATTTATTTATTTACACTTTTGCACATACATATGTACAGTGGCGGACTTAATGCCAGGTGGCATTATCTAGTATACGTATGCTAGGAAATGATAAGCCTGTACCTGTCTATTAAGATTTAAACGATGAAACCAAGTGCCATACATGTATTTTGAAGATTCAAATGAAATCTACATTTTAAAAACATGTATGGCTTCCTTCACTGAGCAAAGCAAGTTTATCCAGACTGTGTTTAATTCGCACTATTTCATGTGTGTAATTTTTTTCCCCCTATTTCATATTAGGATCACTGATTTATAAATAGCCAAAAAGACTATTGAAAATTAAGATTCTAAGTTGATTTGTTGAATTTATGAATATACAGGGTGTTGATTTCAATACCCGCCATATTTAGGGAGTAGATTAAGTAGCTTATTCTGATCACGAATCAGCAAAAAAACTGACTTCCAAATTTTTTATTATTATTTTTTAAATATCTACGATTTCCATAATCGACCACTACAGTGCAGAATAGTCCCCCAACGCAAACGGCGCGCGGCGCTCACCCGGTGACCCGGGCAAGCGCTGCGCCCCCCGTCCCGCGCCCCACTACCCGCGCTCGCCCATGAGTCAGTCAACTATCAGCCACAATCAGCTGTGAGTTCAAAGACGACTACTGGACAGAGCTTAATCCAAATCTACCCTAAAATTGTAATGAGTAAATTAGTTACTTACACCTTATCATGTTACGAGTTTATTTGTTGTTCTAAAAACTAATTAATTAAGTACTCTTTAATTAATAAAAAAACCTTTTACACGAATTTGCTTCCTTCCGCAAAATAATTTTTTTTACAGAACCTACATTATTATTATTTTTTAATTAAACCATGCTTTTATGTGTGTGATAAGCTTGTACCTACTTATCATTCAAAAGTACTGTAAACAGATGACAATAATGCTCTTTCATACAGGTTCGTTATTCCTTACATTTCCAGCTCTCTACCTTAATAACTTTTACGTCTTTACGATAGTNGTGAATCATGATTTCATGAGATTTTTGCCAAAAATGCTACATGTTTTCTAAATATTGAAATAATACGTACTTATTAACAAATAATTTACATAAAAATCGTTTTATTGTATTTAAATATAACCACTATTAATAATTATTAAACATAAAACCGTAAAAAGATTATATTTTTTAAATATAAGCACACAACTACTGCGACACAGGCCTGCGAGCCTAGTGCAGAAGCTGTGGTTTATTACATCACAGGAAATGATATTTGTGAATAAAGATTATTTATTATTTATTATTATATGTACGGGCCTCTCAGGCCCCCACGTCAGTGTTTACGTGAAATTAAATCCACCTCAGTAGCTAAAGGTTAATACATTGAAATAAGATGCCACAATATGAAGATTTATGTGCTGTCGTCTGTACAATATTTCAAATATTGAAATTTTAATTCATTTGATATGACTCACATTTGGGAAATCATGATGGGAGTGGGATGTCCTGTGATGACAGTGTAGTGTTGTTGTCGTTGTAAATAAATAAATAAAAAAAATGAGTAGTCTTATTTTAAAAATAATGCCAACGATTTCAAAGTCACCCTGTATAATGCAGTTCATTCAGATTACGCAGCAAGTAAACTAATTGAATTTTCGCTATTCAGTCACATACTCACGCACGATGCATATGGCAACCGAAATCGCCCGAATTGAGACGAGTGGCAAAATCTGACATTCTATTGGAACAAATTCGATTTTCGAAAAGTGTGACTTGTCTAGTCTACTAGACCTACTGATCGCGTCGTTCGAAGCACCTGTGCAGCGCTAAACTCGTTACGACATGCAACATGACAATGGGACAACTATCCGGCCGCCGGATATCCGGCTATCCGGCCTAGCAGCTCGCCGGATATCCGGTATCCGGCCAAACAACTATCCGTTTCATCTCTAGTCTATATCACAACATTTGCTATGATCGTTTGAACGGCCTAGCAGCTCGCCGGATATCCGGCGGCCGGATAGTTGGCCCATTGTCTGTCTCGTTGTATGTCGTGACGAGTTGAGCGCCGCACAGGTGCTTCGAACGCGATCAGTGGTATTAGTAGACTAGACTCCGAATCCGTCCGAATAGAATGACAGATTTTGCCACTTGTCTAGGGGGCAAATTAATTCGGGTGATTTCAGTTGCCATCGTGAGTGTGTGGTTGAATAGGGAAAATTAAATTAGTTTACTTGCTACGTAATCTGACTGAATTGCATCATGAGTCATCAGACTATCAGTGAAAAAAAGATCGCCCATTTTAATTATCTATATTTCGACATTAACAGATATTTATTTATTTAGTATTAAAAATTGTCATTAGAGTGAATAACCCAGAAAAAGAAATTATTTTTTTGAAAGGAAATTGTCGTAGTTTTTTAATATCCGGTATCCGGCCGGATAGTAAATTTAGGCCGGATATCCGGCCTACCGGATAGTTACCGGATATCCGTTTCATCTCTAATCTGGATACATAATATTAAGCAATATTTAACATAGGTAGGCGTTTTAACGTCGAAACGGCTGAACTGAACCAATGTTGAAAAATATTGGTAAAATTAGGAAAAATTGTCTTCCATAATTTTATCGCCAAAAAAATGAAATGCTAATTTAAAACTTTTGGTAAGAAACAATGTTTCTGAATAAGTAGGAGATTTTGCAGCCGAATGTTTGATCATAAGATACGCGATAAACGGTTCCCTATGCATTTGCACAAAATTTTTAGTACTTACGCATATTTCTTTTTATTTTGTATGGAAAAAAAACGCGGCTTAGCCACTGCACCTTGATGACATTTAAATAAAGTTAATTAAGGCAAAGTAAAATTTTGTGAAAAAATATAATACCTAGTTAGTTAAAGTAGTATTAGTTAAAATCGTCAATTTCATTAAAAACAAATGTTTGACAAGTTTTATTTTTTGTTTCTTTAAAGCGCGCGACTTCTTTTAACCTTTCGAAATGTTTCATTACTATTCATAAAACCAAGTAAAATACAATAACAATTTTTCGTATTGAGGACTTAGTGCTGTCTTGTACATGCTAATTTACATTTTGAATAATGCAAAGGATTGTAATTTGTAATATCTTCACATTGCATAGAGTTCAAAGGTAATATTTTAAATGCTCCAAAAATTTACCTATAAGTACACAACTTGGGTACTACCTACTTTGTATTAGAGGTAATGTATTTTGAGATAGGTAGTTATTGTTTGTAACAAAGTAAGTAAATGAAAAATGGTCGTCAGATCGCATCTAAACGATAAACATCTAAAAAATGTGTAAAAGTAGTACAATCCGTCATACATACTGTCTTCAGGCTTCCGAAGGCTTTCAGTTTTTTAGTGTATCGGTGTGGTTATTTTCCGCTGTTTTTTTAAGTGATGTAGTTTGGACGCGATTAGAAGAGAAGTAATTTATCGTCGTTGACTCTTTGTAAAGGTCAATCCGACCTGTTTATACGAAATACGACTCTAGCAAATCAGGAACTCCATGTTTTATATGTTAATTCTGTAAAGGTGATTACTTCACACACTTTGAAAATTTTTACTTAATTACAGGTCCACTAATGGTAATAACTCAGAGAGTGACATCTTTGGCCTACACGTTACAAGATAGTGTAGCTCATAATGAAATAAATTCTAATTCTACGAGCAAATCTAATGACATCAGAGTGATGAAAATTCCATCACCTCTTGAATACTTCGCGTTTACGCTGGCATTCCAGACGCTTATGTGCGGCCCCGTTGTTTTCTATACTGATTACATCAAGTTTATTGAAGGCCCCCGAGTCAATGAGGTAAGCGAGGTGGCGTGAGTCGCGCGCATGAATGACTCAGGTCACTAACTTTGTATTGATAATTGCAACAATAGAAGATTGCTATGTTGAATCAGTAGGGAAGTATTCAATATAAGAACATTTTAGAAGGAGTTTCGGTTCGGTTAGTGTGTAGATGAGAGATGTTTTATAAAATTATAACAATCAGAATAAAAACAGTGTTGCTTTTATGGAAAGAACATAGTGGAAAGTATTTGAAAATTATAAATAACTTGAAAAAATCGAACTGCCTAAGGCGGGAATTGAACCCACGACCTTCCGTTTACCGGGCAACTGCTTGCAAGTAAAGCAAGACTGGCCCGGCAAGCGGAAGGTTGTGGGTTCAATTCCCGCCTTAGGCAGTTCGATTTTTTCAAGTTATTTATAATTTTCAAATTAGTTTGAGATGCGACTCTTAACGCAAAAAAAAAAACCATTGTAGAAAGTAGCTCTGCAATAAAAGTAGAAAATAAAAGAGCAGTCATCTTATTAAATCGTACTGTCACATTTCTGTACAGTTTCGTAGAAAACTAACACTACAATAAAATTTTAGGATTACGACAAATAATGATGAAGATAACGGAATTTTCCTCTGAAACTTTCCTTATCTTATCCCTTTTTATAATGCTTTTAACACGCTTTATTATGATAATTGCACAGGGTGTCCACATTCTGGAAAGTCAGGGAAAGTCAGGGAAAAGTCAGGGAAGCTCATAGCAGTCAGGGAAAGTCAGTGAAATAGAGGGGTCACCTGGAAAGTCAGGGAAACATTGAGATTTTGTCTACCAAAACACTGTTTGTCTCCCGAAATTTCACAGTGATTGTAAAATGAGGGATTTAATTATTTTATGCTCTAGAAAGACCTTTGATCTTGACTATCGNTTTTCCTAATTCATAAGATAAATGCTCAGCCAGATTACTTGCGAGAAAAAGACGGACTCTGTTGTAATTATCCCCAAAGATGAGTAGAACATGTTTGACTACCCGGGCAATAGTTGGGCACTTAGAGGGCTCACAGACGAGCGACATTATGTCAGCAACTGCTTACAATAGTGGCAGGCGACGGTCGGAAATTATAGGCGACTGTTGGCGACAGTCTCCGACTCGCGCCTTTCGCTATCATGACATGTTGACACTATCTGACTGCAGAGTCGCGATGCATCGGTCGCCAATCGTTGCAAACAAGTCGCCGAAGTAGCCGATAACTCGATAACCTACTGTCGCTCGTCTGTGAGCCCACGTCTTATATTTTCCTTTCTCCAACCGACAAGTGAAGGGTCGAAGTCTAACTCCCATATTCTTCTGATTGTTCTTGTTGCGGGTCTAAAGGCAGTTTAACTTTCCCTTTGAAGTACCCGACCTTAACTATTCGAGTTTTATTTGAGGTCAATGGCGTATCCTCTTGAATTGTTGAAGTGATGGGAAAGAGAAGAGGGAATTTTCATTATACAAAGGAAAATTAAAATGTTTAAATAGGATTTTGTTTTAGTTTTCAAGTATTTTTAAAGGTTGAAATAAAATTCACACGATGTAATAAAAAGTAGGGATGTTATGGATATGTAGTTTCGGTTATGGATACGGTTACGGATATAGGATTAATATTATACCGGTTACGGTGACGGATATTTTTAATTTCGGATATCCGAAAGTTTCGGTTACGGTTACGGATATAGGAATGTGCTTTAGAATGCAATTTGCAATAGTTGTCCAACACAGTTCATTCATAGCCGCACACTTTTCAGCGAATAAAAAGTAATAAAAAAATAAAAAAGATACTAGATGGCATTATGAAGGTTAAAAAGGCTGTTACGCCTTTACATAATATTAACTCATACAATTTAAACTGCCTACATCCGAAACTATCCAAAACTTTTGAATCGGTTACGGTTACGGTTTCGGATATTTTTTTATTTCGGATATCCGAAAATTTCGGTTACGTTTACGGATATCCTTAACATCCCTGATAAAGAGTAATATTACAGGCGTAGCACGACCATAATAATATTGTAAACTATAAGTTGAAGACTAATGGTGAAAACACTTCATTCCTAAAGTTATGTTATCTAACTAAACCCAAGTTAATGAAATGAGACAGACTTAAAACGATTCGTAGGACGATCTCATCAAGTATTTCAAAGCGTCGTCGAAATGAATCGCCCTTAAATATGATTTCCCTGGGGGAGACATACATAGGTATTAAAGTAAGCTTTCTACGAGGCTGAGTTATTTTCTTCTGTTACCGATTTTTCAATTGGCTGGCTAAACAACTTTAATGGAAGTATTATGTTTAGTTCATTAGGCTTTAGGCTATTTATTTTTATTATATTTCTCAGGACTGTTACCTATTTTATATCTGTTTACGTACATTTATTGCGGGAAAAAGTGGGACGAACTAATTGCTGATATCTCTGAAGGGACTAATACTATGGTATTAAATCTTCTCTGAGTCATCATGTATAGACCAGTGGGTCTAGACAAAGTGCACATTTTAATCGCAAACCAGTCGAAAAGTGGTCGAAAAGCCTTTTTTTGTATGGAGTTTTGACGGATTCGATTTTCGATTCGATCAAAAAGTGCACTTTGTCTAGAGCTGTGGGTAAGACAGTAGAATAGTGGAATAGGTAGGTGGTCATGACCAAACTGATTTTTGATTTTTCAAGTATAGAAATACCTACCTATTCCACTACTCTACTGTCTTATCATGGAGTAATCTAAAGTCAACCATGGTATCAGATTGTATGAGCAACCAAAGGCATCTTTTCGGGAAATCATGAAACTGCGTCGTCCAAAGAAAATTTTTAGGAACTCTGAAGGCAATAAAGACAAATATAATCAAAGTGATTTTATAAAATTTATTTAGGAACAGTCTCAAAAGCTTCTAGTAGACTCGGCTCTCTCATAATATAGTTATTATTTCAATACGCGCTACGTTTACCTAGTGATGAGACACGAATATAGTTTTTCCAAACGAGTAAGCCCTTTCGGGAAATTCTCAAAATACTATCTCATAAGGATTCTTCAGCTCATATCAAATGATTTGACTAGGGAATAGCGTGGGATAGGTCTACTTTATGATGCTAGCCCTAGTTCTACACCACTTCAGGGCCTGGGAATTGAGGTGTACGCTGATTGATGATGACGCATTAGACCGAATATATTACCCGTGGCTACGCTATTGGGCAGACTTGGCTTTCGAGAAAAATTGGAAACGAAATTGATGGCCTTTTACCTTGGGGGTTGGTTTATTTAGAAATATTGGCAGCCATAAAAGTAATTCCCTAGTTAACAATTTTATTTCACAGGTTTCTAAACTCTTTTCAATCTTACGAATTGCGTCGAGTATTGTAGTAAGTTGACTGTGTACGCACAATATTCAATTTGTAGGTAATATTAGAGGGAAGTTATTTTTATTCGATTATTTCTTCCACGAAACTTAATTCCTTTTATTATTATAAAGAACACCTGTTCTGTGGAGGAAAATACTCAGAGATTGATTTCCTCGTAAAAACAAATTGAGTTATAAAAGAGGTTATTGGAAAAATGATGAGAAAGTAAACGTTTATTAAAGTTTCATGTTACTTAAGTTTTTAATTTTGTATGAAATCTCTTCTATTTTTTATTTTATCGACTTTTTCTATTTCTTAAGTTAAGGTTAGGTAAATAAAATAAATAGGCTCATAAAGTTTGTTGCAGACTTTTGGTTAACACGTAGTAGATTTTTTAGCTAGTTCAATACGAGGCTTGTCAGGGTAGGCCCCTCTTTTCCACTGGGCACTGAGCAGGGCGTCAAGATCGTTTTTTTTTAGAGAAAAAGAGCCCCGTTGATAATTACATGCCCAGGATAGATTAATGACGATTCTGGATCATGATACAAGTGCTGGGCTTAGGGGTTCCAATGTACGGCACCGTCCAGCCCTTCGCTAGTTACTGTTGACTTACCGGAGCACTTAGTGTAGTGACCGTACAGTTAAAGTCTAGCGTGAACACAGCAGTGGGTAGCAGACAGCATAAGTACGCTACTGGCTAGGGTCTGATGGCCGCATGAGCTGGAGGACACCACCAGACATTCGTCCTCAAATTCACGCATCGTCCAGCTCTTTGTTACTATTGCCATACCATGCCATACCAGATCGCTTGGTGTGATGCCCGTACAGCCGGTTGAGGTCCAACGTAACTACAGCAGTGGGTATCGCACAGCATAAGTACGCTACTGGCTAGGGTCTGACGGCCGCATGAGCTGAAGGACACCGTCAGACCTTCGTCCCCAAATTCACGCATCGTCCAGCCCTGCTAGCTATTGTTAACTCACCAGATCGCTTGGAGTGTACCCGTAGAATTGAGGTCCAGGGTGAGCATGGCAGAGGGTAGCGTGCAGCATAAGTACGCTACTGGCTTTTCTACTGGAGGACACCACCAGACCTTCATCCGAAGTTCACGCATCGTACAGCTCTTCGGTAGCTACTGCTTACTCACCAGATCGCTTGGTATGGTGCCCATACAGCCGGTTGAGGTCCAGCGTGAGGACAGCAGGAGGCAGCGCGCAGCACACCGCTAGAAGCGCGGCGACGCACGCCGCTACACGGCACGACGACATCTCTGCAACAAACGGATTCATNTGTGTCTTGTCGAGAGGTTTCGCTTGGGTGAAGAAATTTCTCCAGTGTTGCCATACTTTAGGAGATTTGGTCCAAAAATGTCGAAAGTAGAAATAACGACTTCCGGTCAGAAATTTAGATGACGCCTCCTGCAAAGGGGTCGTGCAAATGACATTTGACCATTTTCATCTCGATCACCTGGCAACACTGGGAGCTACGGGGAAAAGTATTTTTTTCGACATGGGTGTCTTTAAAGTTAAGGACGGACAGAAGGAGATATGGCAGAAAAAATCCAAAAATGGGGTTTGGTCGGTTATACGACCCAGACTATGGGAAAAATCCGAAATGTCCGAAAATCAAGATGGCGACCGAGTGAGCGGCCATTTTGTAAAAAGATTCAGATTTCTGATTTTTCAAATG